CTCTGGAGTCGCGCTTGGCCCTCCCTGGTGGAGGGAGCGATGGCACGGAGACCGCGCGTGGCCCGGCAGTCGGCACTGCGGTTGGCAGAGCCGACTGCCGGGGCCACAACTGGATTTTTACAAAAACGATACAAATTAAAAAGCAGTTGTTGAGCGCAGAGCCAAAGGCCCCAAAAGTCAAGTCGCTGGCAACAAACAACACGATTGTCCAAATTGTGAAGAGATACGAGTGTAACGTGTTTCTTGAATTGAGCGAGATTATTATTTTTGTAAGAGATTGGGGGAAAAGAGACGACGATGATAGTAGTCCGTCCTCGTTTTGGACTACGACAATTCTCTTATACTTGGTCTCCCCATTTACTCTCCCCCCCCCCTTCAACACACATAAAACAACTCTGCTCGTATCATATTCAACCTTCCCTACAATTCTCATATCTCGACTCTCGTCACGCAATTGCATTGGCTCCCTGTGTACTACCGTTGCCTGTTCAAATTCCTCACCCTGGTCAACAAATCCCTTCATGGTCTTGCCCCACCATATCTTGCCACTCTTGTATTTTATGTCCCTTCCTCACCCTCTATGTTCTCAATCTTTGTTGTCTCTCTCTGTGCCTCCTCCTTGCACTCAATCCACGCTTTCGCTCTCTCTCTCCTCGCTCCCCTTCACTGGAACAACCGTCCCCTCCATGATCACCAGTCACCTTCGCTCACTAGTTTCCGCTCCTCACTAATAATTCACGTCTTGTTCCCTAGCTCACCCCACGACCCCTGAATCTCCCCCCTCATAACCACCGTTACTGTTCCCTCTTCTTAATCTCATAACATGGCTACCATTCCCTATTCATTCAATCTATTCATCATCATCATTTGCTCTCATCAATTTTGTTTTAAATAATTCACGCATCACAGATTTGCTCATTACTTCCTCACATCTATTGTATTCACCTCATCTCCACCATTACGTGTATATGTACCATTCCTAATTCTCTGTAAAGCACCTTAGTCAAGGTGTTATACAAATTACGTTAAAATAAGGTTGTGATGGCAGGAGGGAATTCCAGTGGAGCCGTGCAAAGGAAGAAATGCAAAGAGAAACGAGGTGACCTGCAGTGTGGTGAGTGCTTAGATGAGCGATTGCTTGGGTGAGCGAGTGGGTGAGTGAGTAGTTGGGTGAGTGGTTGGGTGAGTGAGCAGATGGTGGAATACTTAGGGCAGATCTATAGGTCTCTGTGTGTGTCTATGGGTCTCTCTGTGAGTCGAAGAGTAAATGGTGGAATATTGTTAGGGCACATCTATGGGTTTCTGCGAGTCTATGGGTCTCTGCGTGAGTCTATAAGTCTGAGTCTAAGGGTAGAAAGTAGAATTCTGTGAGGGCAGATCTTTGAGTCACTGTGATTCTATGGGTCTCTTTGAACTTATGGGTCTCATTGTGTGTCTACGGGCAGATGATGGGATACTATTAGGGATGATCTATAAATCTATATGTGTATCTGTGGGTCTCTGTGCGAGTCTATGGATCTCTGTGCGAGTCAATTGGTCTGGATTTATGGGCCTCTATGCGAGTCTAATCGCAGATTGTGGGATACTGTTAAGGAAGATCTATTGATCTGTCTGTATGTAGGTCTGAATATGATTATGTAGGTCTCTATTTGATTCTGTAGGTCTCTTTGTGAGTGCTGGACAGTACGCTATGAACCGGAAAGCCTGGGTTCACAACTTCCAGTGACGGCCAAAGTCAGTGGCGATTCTCTGCACGGGTTCCTGAACGCTGTCGCCAATTACATTCATAAACTTCCAAGGACAGACGCGTGAAACGTGTGGGAGGAATGTTTTTTACTCCGTGTAAATTAACAGTGGAGTATGCGAGAGCTGCTTTGGAACCTTGGCTCCGGCTCGACTAACGGGGCCGTGGCAGGGAACAGAAGCAGCAACGCGTTCGCCGCTTGCATTTAAATCCGGTAGGCCGCCCTGGTTAACCCTGAGGGTATGAACCGTAAAATACTACGCGGCGTCTGCATCACAGCTTACATTACATATCCCGTGACGGCATTCATAAGTGGGGGCACCGTGTGCTGGCATTGGAGTCCAAATTTGCCAAATTCGAAAACTGCATCACCAACCGTTCAACTGGAATCAATGACAAAATAGCACAGATCGCCCCCTACTGGCAGACTATTGCCATTTGCAGACCGCACAGGAACAGCTGCCACTGGGGGTGCCCTTTCGAATGTGTCCAGGTGAGATGCAAGGCGCCTATCGTCGCATGTGAAGCGCTCTGGGACGCCCCGGTATGAAGGCGGTTCCGTCAAACATGACTCGTAGTCATTACTCCCACTCACAGAGTTCACGCAGCGGGTCGCTGACATAGACGCACGGCGCGGTGCTCCGGAGACCCCAGTGTACATCCTCATTTCGCAATGCACATGACACACACAAAAGACAAAGATTCCCCGTATAGCCATGCAGACTGTTGGGGCGTGTGCTGTTAGTGAGCACCTATGAAGGCCAACGTGGCTAACGAGAGGGTGGGTGACTAGCACCCCGCACGGTCGTATGTCTTCCCCGTGCAAATGCTTACACATCGCACCAGGTACTCATTTAAGGCTGAGTCGACCTTAGGGAGGCCCATGATTTGATCAGATGTTTCACTATTGACCGTGAAAGGGAATTGAACACGGGTCATGGGGTTCATAGGACAGTGCGCTAACTGCTACACTACCAATCCCCAACAACAGCCGCCATTCACTGAGTTGTGGTGACGTCACCACAGTGCTGGTGCCAGGCTAGGTTCACTCCGAAGCCAAGTAAAGTGTCGAAGGCTCGCTGACAGGAAGAGGTTAGGGGGCAGACCCAGCTGCTATGGCTTGACTGACTGAAATGACAGATACACCACCTGTGCCCCCTACCATGCCATATTGCTGCATTTTATCTGTACTCGTTGCGAGGCTTCTCTTCCCTCCGTTGTTGTAGAAGGGCGACTGCCCCCAACTGCTCAGGAGCGTCTATCACGAGCCTCCTCCATAGAGGCTGATCTTGACACCGCTGGTACCCGTCTTTGGCAAGACCACTCAGCTCCACATCTTCCTGTACCGCATTACCCCGTCTCTTCTCCAGCCCATGCCGTGCCCGTTTAGACCCCTCTATCGGCCCTAACAGAAGCAGCTTGGGTATGCAGTGGCAGAGCATGCGGGCTACATGACCCAACGAATGCAGCCTTGCCTGCTGGAGCTCACCGATGGGAATATGACCAGATCCTTCAAGGATTTGTGAGCTCCTCACACAATCCATTCTGGTTAAACCCAGGATGGATCATAAGCAGGCCAGCCTGTGTCTAACTGGCGCAGATGTTCCATTAGAGGGATCCACGTTTCAAAAGCATAGAGAAGGGAGGGCATTATCGTGGTTGGGGTGATCCGATGCTTTATGTGGAGTAACAGACCAGGTAGCTTACGCACAATGTTACGCAGCCGGTGAAAAGATAATGCCGCCCGACCGATTCGCAGTGAGACCTCTGCTGTCAAGCCGGAGCTGGTCATAAGCACACTGCCGAAGTATTGGAAAACTCTCCACTCTCTCAACTACTGCTCCATCTCCAATGGGGAGTTTGGGCTGGTGGAGTGTTTGATGGGACAAAATACCCAGGCACGTCCTTAGTTTTGATGGGGTTTATGGTAAGGTCCCACCTTTTAGTAGCACGCTCCAGGTTCAGCAGTAGCGCCCCCAACTCCTTATTTGAGTGAGCAGCAATCACCAGATTATCAGCATACAAAACATGGTTGGCTAATCGGGAGGCATCTCTCGACCGGACTTGCTATTGTTAGCCGTGGTTGGGTATCTAACCTGGACCGCCGGGTTATATGTATGTAGCGTAAAGCGCTAACAACTGTGCCACCCCTCCCCGTATGGACATCTACACGATCACAACAGCAGCCACCGGTGATGTCACCACAGCCTTTGTGCGAGGCGGCAAGGTGTACCTTGAGGCCGTCACCTGAAATGTGGAAGACGCCCTGCTGGCAGCAGGTCACGGGCCAAACTAAAGTGCCATGGGTTTACTGCAAGGCCGTAATTATAATATATTGGGGGGGGGGGGAAATCCCCCCCCCCATATACTATTAGACATTGTAAAAAATAAATAAAAAGGCCATCCTATGTGTTAGTGAATTTTTAAAAATATTTTAGGCAGGAAATTCGTTTTCAAATTTAGATATATTTTTTTCTGGGGGTGGACCCCCATAACCCCCAGATTTGGTCCCCCCCCCCAATGTTGACTCCATGGCTACGGCCTTGGTTTACTGAGACAACTGGTAGATACGCCTGTGGTGCACTCCAGTGCCGCGTTTTATCCGCCCGGCGCTCCGCTGTCGCTCCTATGCCCTACACTTTTGCTGGAGGGCGACTGCATCCAACTGGCCAGTAACCTCACAGTGCACGTAGCCTGGCACGGCCCAGGAGCGTCCTTCACAAGCCTCCTGCACACACTGACATACAACGATAGTCACAAAGACATCCGTATAATTACAGACTGCTGGGGCAAGTTATTGTTAGTGAGCACCGATACGGCGGCACCTATCAAGGGTTGTAGTGTGGTCGGAGCTAAGATTCGGCCGCCTTTGTCTCCCTCGCGCCAGGTATTCCTTGACGCTGGGTCGACCTAGGAGGGGAGGCCCAGGACACGCACACGACGAGGGCACGGGGCGCGCCATCCGCGGAACGTGTGGCAGCGCCCACTCGACGCGTCCGTGCGCACGGGGCGGCGGCGGCTGGAGCAAGCCCCCCCCCCACACTAATCCGGCCAGACAGAGACACAGGCGGGGCCGCGCTCACCGTGAAACGACACCCTCCCTAGCGCCATCGCGCACTCGCGAGCTGCTTCCTTGCAACGAGCTAACGCGGCGGAGGAAGCGGCGCTTGACCCCCCCCGTACCCCGCCGCACTGCGCCCTCGCCGGGGCAGGTAGCGCCAGCCCCACGGCACCGCGCGCGTTTGCGCGCGCGGTGCCGTGGCGGGGGTCGTGCACGGGCTGCGCGTGAGCGCCGAGCGCGCCAGTGATGGCGCGCACATCCACACCGCACGGCGCTCACACGCAGCGCAAGGACCGCAGGCGCCGCGGTTCGGAATCGCAATCGCTCCGAGCGCCGAGGCCCGCGGCAGCGGCAACGGCGGAGGCGGCTCTCGCAAATCCGGCCCTCGTCGCACAGAGCCGCCGGCCAAGCCCCTTTAGACCCACCCATGCTCCCACCCACCCACGCAGCCCTGCACCCACCCTGCACCCACCCTCCATACACGCGCGCAGCGAGAGCCAGGGGGCCCTGTGTCTCGCCAAAGTGGCGCTCTATCGGATAGCCACAGAGCGCGTTCATCTTGGCGTGCGTGCGTGTGCGGGGTGCGTGCGTGTGCGGGGCGAGGCTGTCCCGTGTACGTGGTGCGTGGTGTGGAGGAGAGGGAGGAGGAGGAGTGGAGAGTCCGTGGGGGAGACTCTCGGTCGTTCCCTGGCCCTGGGCTCTGGCGGGTGTGGGGGATACAGTAGCTGCTGCTGCTGGGCCCTTGTATCACAAGCACATCGCGGGCGGAGGCGCAACGCGAGGGACGAGGAGCGGTGAGCGGTGAGGACGGCGGCGCTCGTCCAGCATCGTGGGCCCGGCCGGTGAGCGCGCAGTGGCCGTGGGTGCGAGCCGGCCCGGGTTCTCACGCACGCACCACCGGCAGCACGCGGTTTTAGCGGTGGTGGTGCGGCGGCGTAATGGTCGGCAACGCCGCACTCGCAAATCCGGAGTTCGGTCGCCAGTCTCGGGTCGATTTCCCGGCGCGGCAGTTGAGAGCTGACGGACGCGCGGCGCAGGTGAGCGGGTCTCGTCCGCGGCCACTGGGCCGTGGTGCGCGCCCCCAGGGCAATGGCCTCTGACCGTCTCACCACGCTCCACGGGCACAATGCGTAATGGAGCGAGCAGCAGCAGCAGGAGAGCGCCGTGTTTCACCGCGATGGTTGGGGGGGAGGAGGACGGGGGGCGGCGGCGGCGGCGATGATGATGGGGCGCCCGGGGAACGCACCAGCCATGGTGGGAGGGGAATGAGCGGCGTGCGAGGAGGGGATGGCTGTGTCCTGTGTATCTTGTGTGTCCTGTGTGTGCACGCGTGTGCCTCGCTGCTGGCCTGTGCGCCATCGCTAAGCGAGGACACGCCGCCTGCTGCCACGCCACGCGGAGGGGAGTGGGTGGATGAGTTACGTGGACGCATGGGGTAGAAGCTATCGGAGCCATGATGCGGTGGTGGGCGCGGTGGTGGACGCGGCGCGGCTCGCGCCGGTTTCGCCCGCGAGTCAATGGCGCGCGCGGCGTGGGTTTGAGTGTCCGCAGCCGTGTGGTGGTGGTGGTGCTGTTGTTGTTGTTGGGTACAGGCGGACGGGGAGGGGTGTGCGGTCTCGCTGGCCCCATCAGAGGCGCGCGCACCCCCCATGAATGGACGGTCCCAGACCCTCATCCCCTCGCACTTCAATGCCCCCCGCCTTTCCCCTGGGGCACTGCACCCCTGTGTAAACTCTGGCTCCACAAGTAGGGGTTACCACCTTTTGCTGCAAGAAAGCTCAATAAGAGCAAGCCCGGTACCGCATCTCCGTATAAATCAGCTGCCACCCAAATCCAAAAACTCTCCTGGGCAAAACCGGACAGGTGGCAACCCGAGCAAGCCCCGTGGGTACAGTGCACACTGCGCCATTCCACACCTGGCCGGGGGTGTGACCCGTTCGGGTGGACCCCAGTGCTGGTTGGGAGATATTCCCGGGTGCCGGTCATCAGCGAAGAAAGATAGCGAGCCGAGTTGTTCCACACTGTCACGGGAATGCAGCCGACTCCACACGCATCCACCTCCACGCAGTACTTGATCCATCCTGCCGCTGCTGCTCCCAGTAGCCACCATCTCCCTGTGCCATGCTGATGATGCCGCCTCTCCTGTTACACCACGGCGTGTTGTTGTGTGTGTGCGTCTGGCGGTCATCGGCTGTGTGAACTGGGGTTGTGTGCCTCGGGTGAGTTGGACCCGGGCACCTTGAGAGGTCGGGTCGGGGTGGGGGACTTTGGGGCCTAGAGGATTGGGGTTGCGAACCCAGGGAACTTGGGATCGGGGTCCTGGAACGTGCCGATAAAGGGTCTGGGTAAGAATGGGGCTGTCTGGTCGCCACCTCTCCCACTGTAAACCAAACCGGGACGGTCACCTCAGTCACTCCTCTCGGGCAGTCATCAACACTGCGCGGCAGTCTCCTGCAGAGAGGCTCGACGCAGCCACCCGGACCGTCCCGAGTCGGACCCGGACAGGTGGCAACCGCGGGTCGGGGTCTCGGCGCCCAGGACCGGGGTGGGTGGGGGGGTCCTGGGACCCAGGAACCCCGAGTGGGCGCCCCCAACTGCTCCCGGGTGCCAGGCGGCGGTGGTGTCCGGGAGTATCCACAGCGGAGCCGAACTCGCCCGGGCGGGAACGGGAGGCGAGATGCCGGGGGAGAGGCGGGGGGGGAGAGGCGGCTGAGACGGGAGCGGAGGTGAGAGGGACCGAGTCAGGGGGGACAGAGGGCGGAGCGGCCGCGCGGGGGGGAGGAAGGAGATGGAGGCAGGAATGGATGAGCTTGAGCCGGGCCCGGCCGCGGAGTGGGGTGAGAGAGAGAGAGAGGATTTTGAGTCCGGAAGAGAGGGGTGGAAGAGAGGGGTGGAGGAGGGGGTCCCGTCGGCACTGCTGGGCGCGGCCCCCGGGACCGGCGCGGGTGACGCGGAGGAGGCGGCCGGGCCCTGCACCGCGCTCCCTCGCAGCACAGAGGGAGAGGAGGGGAAGGGAGAGGAGGGGAAGGAAGCGAGCGAGTGAGGAGGAGGCCTCCATAGCGCCGGCGACTGCCGCGGCCTCTCGTAGAGAAATGGCCGGGTCTGTCGCAGCAGGCGGGCGACGTTTCCCGCGGGGCTGCCCCCCGTGAACCCCGCGGGAATGACGTCCCCGGCAGGTCGGAACCCGCAGCCGCCATCATATTCATCGTCGTTATAACCATCAGCATCGTCGCCATCTCCTGCTCCTCGCACTCCTTTGTGTCTCGGCGAGCCGCCTTGAGGGGAGGAGAGGGCAGGCGCCGCGCGCCGCTCTGGATGGAGCTGCGCGCTCCATGTGCGCGCTTGCGCCTCGGTGCGCTGCGCCTCCTCCATCATCGTCATCATCCATCCCTCTCCTCCTCCCGCGTCGTCCGTTAACAACTCGCCTTGTCCACCCTCTCTTCCTTATTCACCATCACTTCGTCTGCCTCCATCAATGTTCCTCTTCCTCCACCCGCCTCCGCCTATTTTCTCGCATCGCTCATCCGCTATCTTTGATCATCCACCTTTTTTGCCTTCTCTTCCTCACCCTACATCCTCCTACTCCACTGTCCTCCATCCGCCTTCATCCTCATCCTCTGTTCTCAACTCTCTTCCATCAGTCCTCAGCCTCTTCCACCCTCCCCCATTCTCTTCCGTCATCCTTCCATCAGCCACCTCTTCCACCACCCCCCAATCCTCCACCTACATTACTTCATCTGCCATTCTCCTGTGCCACACGTGGCCATGAGTGAGGGCGGCACGTGTGGTGGGGGATGCTGTGATTAGAGAGCTTGAGAGAGGTTGAGGGGCATTCATATTCTACGGTCTCAGCACCCAGCACTGTGGCCACTCCTGCGTCACACTCCGTGCCACGGCCCTTGACCCTGGCCCGGGTCCCCGTGTCCGTAGTGGGGGGGGGGGGGGCGGTGCCTTTGTTATGGTGATGAGACTCGGTCGTTTTGCGTAACCGGTAACCGCATGAATAAACTATAAAATCGGTTCACCACAAGCATAGACACGTCTAGAGTAACAAACACTTTACCTTTGTATCTGAAATGTCGATGACTGGCAGTCCGTGTGTGGTGGGGTAAGGGGTGGGTGCGCCCACCTTTTCCAAGACGCCTGGGTCCGCGTGGAAGAGTTGGCCAAACACCACTCCAGGGCGTCCTCTCGCGGAGGCCCCTTCCGCCAGCAGCGGCGTAAACGAGACATTGCAGGGCTGCGCCTCTACATCTTAACTGAGAAACGAGGGCAAATTTACCGCGCTGCCACTTAGGCTGCCGTTCGGTTTGTACATCGGCGCATGCCAATCGGTGCTTTCGTTACTAAAGCTCCACTGGAATCGTTTAGCTGACTCTGGAACCCGGTTAACTGAATTTCAACCCAGAAGGGAGATTTGGACCTGGGTTAGTTCTGCTGGAATCCGCTTCTGCGTTGCATTATACTGCAGACCGACGTTCCCCGATGGATAGCCTGGCTCCTGTCATGGAAGTGTGGCAGTTTCACCACTGGCTCAGGGCTGCCAACACAGATAATACAATGCTATAAATTGTTGCTGTCATTATATTGGACCAAAGGCAGTGGTGGAAATTACACATTCCAATGAATGGGTCAGCTTTTTTCTAGAGGACAACCACTTGGTGTAGTAATTTACTTTATACAGGAAAGCCACACTGAGTTGTAGGACTCGTGTTCAGAGGTGCCTGCATTGGCTTTTTATTTTAGTATGTTTTGAGCCAATTAAAGATGACAGTGTTTATTATACAAGTTGGAGGAAACAGGATCACCCGGATAAACCCACAATCTATCTTCGTATAGATCGAGACAGATGGCAGTTCACTTGCTGTGCTGCATTCTCCTGGCAAGTCAGGATATGGCACCTGCTGCAGTACGGTGATCCACCAACCCTTGCTCCCTCCACAGCGCTGGATAATAGGCACGTGCATAGCCACTACCGAGTTGGCTAAATATTGGCATGCATTTATCAACCCTTGAGGGATGATGAGCCGCGTAGAGCTGCAGCCGATACTGGTGCCTTTACCCAGGAATGGCACAAAGGGTCTCGTGACTCATTTCCCGAGGGCCCTGCGTTAAAATGTTTGACGAGTCAATTTGTTGGCTGGTCAGTGGTAACGGTAACGTAGGAGTGGCAATGCGACAGCTTCCCCCATCATATTGAACGCCGATCTTCCTATCCATAGTGAAACCACGAATAACGGCTGGCTAAGGAGGCATCTGAGAAAACTGTTCTTTTCCGTGCCAATGACTTTATTAACTCAGAACGATCACCACTACTGGGCTAATTTACAAGGCGTCAGTTCAACCCAAGTTGAAATCCTGCTGCTGTCCACATCGGGGGTGAGCACCCAGTTCCTACCTTGCTGCTGCACCCGATAGAAGTCACAGTGGAGTGGCAGTCAGGGTGGATCAATGATCGAACGTTCGTTGATTCTCTCCAGTTTGCTCGCTCACCAGCGGCCAGTCACCTCCTAATCACTCATCTACCGCTACTGCCATGGTTACCATTCCTGTGAACTCCACTCATTGATTCCTGCTCCACCTATTTTGAGGACTCTGTACCAGACGCTGACTCTTTCGTCTCTTATCCACGCTGTTCAACCACCGCACTGCAGGTCACAACAACACACAAAGACAAAGATCCCCTGTATAACCTGAACTTTTGGGGCAAGTGCTGCTAGGGAGCACCTATGAAGGCTGGCACGGCACACCAGGGGGTGGGTGGCCAGCACCACACCCGGCTGCCTTTGTCTCCCCAAGTGACAATGTTTACGCATGGCACAAGGTACAAATTTGAGGTTGAGTCGACCTAGGGGAGGCCCAGGACCAGCTCAGATAATCGTCACAGGTGTTTTGAGGACCCAGGGAGACTTTCCTGGATAAAGTAATATGACACTTTAATGGATTATTATGATGATCAAAATAAATAACGCCTTCCACGATTTGTCTCGCCACAGAAAAATAACTAAAGTATTTTTTACACATCCCATCAGCGGCACGTGCTTCTGGGACTCATTCACTTTCTCATCAGCAGTGTTGAGTTTACTGCACAGCGTTGATAGGTCGAGGCCAGGGGTCAGCAACCAAAATATAACAAGAAGAACCATTTTTATAGGTTTCGGTAAAAAAACTCAATATTTCAAGAGCTGCAATGCAATGTGAATACGAGACGGTCCTTAATAAATAATGTCACGAAGCAGTCCTTAAAGAGCTTCGGAACCACAGGTTGCCGACCTCTGGTCTAGGCAGACTGAGAAACGTGTCCGGGTTTGCTCTACACTGTGGAGAAGAAGGCACACCTAAGTTTTACATCAACACAAAACTCCATTGACTTGTGGAATGCAAGACATTAAATGAGGAATATTTATCCCGTTATTTAATAATAGGAATTATCAATGCCAGTTATATAACCAGAAAGGCTTTGCGAGTCTCAAGACCATTTTCCAGGAGTGTCCTGCATTGGGGTGTTTGGCCACTCCCGATGATGACTGTTAGGCTTCTTGTGGGAGGAACTTGGCGCTTGAGGTGGTGACACTCGCCGTCTTGCGTAGGGGTGGCTGCCGTTCACAACAACGGAGAGTTGATAACGTTCCATTCCTAGGCATGTTGGGGATGCATTGATCCATCGGTGAGTATCGCGTTATGCAACCTGCAATACATTCCCTGAATTACACACTGAAGAATCATCACAAGTCCTCAACTTATGAACATACACACTTACGAACCAGCTGCCATGAGATAGGAAGTTGCGAGTTCAAATCCCTGTTGATATTTTGTTGCCTGTTGGGAGTTGACTCATCCCATCATCATCCCTCTTACCAGGGTCGATAAAATAAATACTACTTTATAGGGAAGATCAAAAGTGGTTGTCCTATGGATAGATTTTCCTCCCGCCATAGTAATGCAGTTTCCACCATTAGCTGCGGGCTGGAAATGGAAGGTGAACACCAACAGGCTATCACTTTGAGCAGAGCAGATGTAAAATCTCTGGAGGCTCAATCACAAACGGATCGAACGAGGTAGTCAACGTTGAACGTGCGTATGCACACACGCATACCGGGTATGCACGTGGTGGGAGTACGTTTGGTATTCGTGCCGTTTTTCATCGTTAGAGGCTGTCACTGTGAAGAAGGGTGCTGCTGTGTTTCACAGTCTGCAGTCGTTTCAGAGTCCGGGGCCATATTGCTGCGTGTGTTTGATTCCAATTGGGTAATTTTGCAGTGTAATTTTTCTCATTTGGCAAATTGGAACGCTGATGCTGGCACACAATGGCCTACTGGCTTCGAATTACGTCACGGGATCTTTAACTTGAGCTGTGAGCGGACAGTGCGTCGTATTTTACGATTGATACACTCGCCAGTAGTAACCAGGGTGGCCTACCGGATTAGTACAGTGAGCATCTCATGCGGCGAATTTGCTGCAGATGGGCCGTGTTGCTGCTCAAAAAGAATCTACTCAGGGATTCTCACGAGCCCAGCTGCTGACACATCATAAGCCACAATGGTGTACATGAGTGTCTGGTTATTCCCAAACACGAAGCTTTAGTGTAAATTTGTTTAATATTCTACTGAAATAAGCATCGGAAGGTATCCAATCCCATTAACAGCCTTGTGCCATCTTTGAAAACTTCACATTGCTATGGCAGTGGCAAGTGTATCCATTTGATGACTGCTTCTCGCAGAATGCTACTCATTTTATTGTCCCCAAAGAGCTGACGATTGGGGCCTAGTTGACCCCCCGCAGGCTGGGATTTGAATTCACAACCAAACATTGGGCAAGCGTCTCCCTCTAACCGTGGCCCCACCACCCAGGTGCAGAGTTGCAGGGGCAGGTGGCCATTGTCGTGGTTTCTGTCCCTCAATTCATGCCGAGCGCAATCGCTCCATGGCCGGGGGATAGAGGAGTCCCTGCCTCGTGGGGTGTTGAACCACGGTTGGGGAACGGGACTGTTTTTGTCGTTGTTTTTCTTCCTTGCCCAAGTTTGCATTTAATGTTGAAAAATCGGCAGGAATTGATATACTTATACAGTTTGTACTTATAAACGTTATTTTTATTTATTTATTGACGAGTTTACCTTTTCTCTAATTTGCACTCCTGTCGTGTTTTCATTTTGTTTGTTGTAACTTGCAGACCCGCACCGACTGGACATCTATGAAAAGTAGATGTTTTATTGCCTCACTAATGCAAAGGAACAGAGCGGTGTGGCGTGGAGTGGTGGCGCAGCGGTTAGCGCACAGCGGTACGAACCTGGTGACCAAATTCCTATTCTCAGTTGTGAGCGATATCACCAACGTGGTGAAGTATGGTCAAACAGCCCTCCATGACTGTGATGGGATGGGGAGCCATCTAGGAGAGGATTTATTATTCTCAAATAACTTAAGTACTTAAGAATTTTGTAATGCACGCAGATTTCGTTCAGTCTCAGAAAGAGAGTGAGAGAGACGAAGACAAAGAGAATGATTCAGAGGCGTGGGAAACCGCAGACAAGTGGGAAGGCAGCCAGAACCGGTGCCACTAAGCGCCCAAGCTCTGCGTTCCTATATTAGGCTGGTTGGTCAACTCCATTATTGAGTTGTTTGTGAGAGGACACCAGAGTGGCTGGAGAAAACCCACGCGCCACGAGGGGGTAACACTAAAACCTAAAACCCCATACAGATGGAAGTTAACCTACTTGAACCAATGGTTCAAGCACGCCTGAACTCTGCTGATTAGGCACCGAATGTTGAAACCACTCCGGAATTTGCTTATGTTAAACCAGTGGTTTAAGCAAGCCTGAACTCTGCTGATGAGACACTGAATGTTGAAACCGGTCCATAATTTGCTTAAATTGAACCAATGGTTCAAGCAAGCCTGAACTCTGCTTATGAGATGCTGAATGTTGAAACTAGTGCAGAATTTAATTTTAATGGAACCCATTTTTGGGAGCGAGACTGACCTTGCTGACGTACCACGACGCGACGCACGCATATGTCCAGCGACTCGCTCACCTGTGACGTAGCCGAGGGACTTAGAAGGCATTTGCTGCGGCCAGAGAGCAAGGGCACAGTGACTTGACCCATAGTTGCGAGCAGCATTCAATAAGAACGATGATGATAACAAGCTTGATTTATCCCGTGCTTTTCACGTGAAACATCCTAAAGCGTTTAAGCAAGGTTAAATAAAAAACCACATTGAGCCAAGTAGTGGTGATGATGTAAACACAGCTCTGTCAGCTGCGCGGTGGTGGTGGCAGCTACACTGCTGCACGCGGCTGGCTGTGATCTGGCTCTGCCAGTAGAAGGTGGTAAAGCAAAGATTTGGGCTCCATGTGTTCTGTCTCTATGGGATAGAGTGTTTCCCCCTCACATGTGTGGGTTTTTTTCTAGGTGATTCAATTTAGTCCCACATGTAAACTCATTAATTGGCCAAAACACCTCAATATATAAAGGACTGCAGAGCTTGAATAATTGTTTGCTCCGGCTCCTCACCTCCTGGCTGCTGTTGCCTCCTTTCAACCAACCCACTTACCCACCCAACTACCCTCTTACCCACCCACCCAACTATCCACCCACCTACCTAATTACCCACCCACTTAACTATCCACCCACCCAGAGCACAGGGGAGAGGGGGCATGTGGGTAGAGAAGGGTTTGTGAGTTGGGGGGGGGGGGGGGGGGCTAGAGGTTGTCACATGTGAGGGGGGGCACCCGGGGGCAAGAAGAGGTGGAGATGTTGGGGCTGGGCTGGTCCATCGGGACGGGTCCCTGCAATTGGCACTGCAGGCACAAAGCCTTCTCCCCTCCCACGCCTGCCCTTCCACGTAAACGGCACGGCCATCCTTCGCACATCCCGTCAGCTGCGCGGCCCAGTGGGAGTTCATGATCCCGATGCCACCCAGCGACTCACCGCGCTCGGGGCGACGGTTTCCTGTCATGCAGGCAATGGAAGCGGACGACCGCAGCGACGGGGAGGGCGCCGTGGCGGCCACGCGGCCGGGCGGAGACGCGGGCCGGTGGGAAGCGACAGCCGGTGATGGACCGGGCGACAAAACCGAGGAAAGCTCCCAGGGAGAGGAGCGTGAAGCCACCGCAACCGAGGCACCAGAGGCAAGCGCGAAGAGCCTTGGCCACCTCGAGGCGCGGACGCAGACTGAGGGGACGAGGGAGGTTGCAGCCAAGCGGAATGCCACGGTGGACAAGGGCATCCAGACGGATGGGCGGCAGCGGCACTGCTGCGGTGCAGGTGTGCAGAGTGTCAAGAGTGACTGGGTGTCACTGTGTGTCACTGTGTGTGTGTTACTGTGTCTTTGTGTCACTATGTCACTGTGTGTCACTGTGTGTCGCTGTGTGCGGGGGGTGGTAGTGTAGCAGTGAGTCGGGGAACCTGGGTTCCATTCCCGCTCATGACCAACTCCAGTGACAATTATCTGAACTGGTCCTGGGCCTTCCCTAGGTTGACTCAACCTCAATTGAGTGCCAGGTGCAGTGTGTCAACATCGCCGCTGGGGAGACAAAGGCGGCCGAGCATGTTGCTGACAACCCACCCCTTCGTGTGCCATGGCAGCCTTCATAGGTGCTCGCTAACAGCACTTGCCCCAATAGTCTGTTAAGGCTACACGGGAGGTCTTTGTCCTTGTGTGTCACTGTGTGTATTTACTGTGTGTCACTGTATGCATCACTGTCACACTGTTTTTGTCTTTGTGACAAACACAATGACAAAACAAAGATCTCCTGTATAGCATTCAACAGGCTGTTGGAGAAGTGCTCTTCACGAGCACCTATGAAGGCCGGACCAGCACATGAGGGGGTGGTGCGGTCAGAACCACACCAGGCCCCTTTGTCTCCCCAGTGCTGGTGTGGTGTACTTGCCTGGTGTTGTGTGTAAATACCACACCAGGTTTACACACCACACCAGGCAAGTACCTGGTGTGGTGTGTAAACACCACACCAGGTACTTATTCAAGGCAGAGCCGACCTAGGAGAGGCCCAAAATTGGTTCAGATTTATCGACGATGTTGACCGCGAGTGGGAATTGGACTCGGGTCTCCAGCTTCGTACCAAAGTGCACTAACCACTACACTACCACTCTATTACTAACCACTACACTACCACTCCACTAGTTGCACAGTGACACACATGGACAGAACAAGAACCGCCATTCACCACGAAATGGATCATGTCACCACCTCAACTGTGCCAGCCTAGGTGGACGTTGAGGCCACGTGAAGTTTCGAAGGCTTGCCAGCAGGAAGTCACGAGACAGACCCAGTTGCCGTGGGTTGTCTGAGATAACTGGCAGATGTACCACCTGTGCCCCCCACTGTGCCAAATTGTTGCCTTTTAGCTGTCTTGCGCTCCTCTAATTTTAAAGTCCTCCATTGTTGCTTCAGGGCGACTGCCTTCAACTGCCCAGTAGCGTCCTTCATGAGCCTCTTCCATAGAGGCCGATCTTGACACTGCTGATACCGGTCTTTGGCAATTACACCAGCTTCACATTCTCCTGTACCGCATTTTCTCCATCTCTTCCCGAGCCCATGCTGCACCCGTTTAGACCCCTCTATCCTGCCAAACAGAAGTTGCTTGGGCTTGCGGTGGCTGGGCATGCGGGCTACATGACTCAGTCTTGCCTGATCACTGATGGAACTTGGAGCTCACTGATGGAAATATGCCCAGATCTTTCAAGGATCTGTGAGCTCACACAATGCAGCCTGGTTAAACCCTGGATGGATCATAGGCAGGCCAGCCTGAATGTGTCTAACTGGCACAAATGTTCCATGAGAGGGGTCCACGTTTTGCAAGCATAGAGAAGGGAGGGCATAATTGTGGCCGAGAAGACCCTAAGCTTTGTGTGGAGTGACAGATCAGATAGCTTCCACACAGTGTTAAACAGGTGATGACTGATTCTGAGTTAGACCTCTGCTGCCAAACCGGTGCTGGTCATAAGCACACTACCTATGTACAGAAACTTCTCCATTCTCTCCACAACTGGTCCATCACTCATCGGGAGTTCAGGGGATGGAGTGTTTGATGACATAAAATACACAGCCAGGTGCTTAGTTTTGGTGGGGCTGATGGTATGGCCCCACCTCTTTGTGGCACGCTCCAAGTTCAGCAGTAGAACCCCCAACTCCTCAGTGAGAAGACATTTCCATATCATAGTTGACCAATAGGGAGCCATCCCTCGGCCTCAGTGACAAAGATAATGATTCCACATATAGCCTTTAACAGACTGTTAGGGCAAGTCCCATTAGCGAGCACATATGAAGGCCAGGAAGGTAGATGAGGTGGTGGGTGGCCAACACCACGCCTGGCCACGTCACTGTGTGTGAGGAGTAGTGGCGCACTACAAATCCGGTGACCCGAGTTTGATTCACGGTTGTGGTTAACGGCTAGCATCAGTGTCTAGGAGTGGTATCTAAACCTGGTACTGTGTCCCGCCGTAGTTCCTGGTGCGAGGTGCAAACATGATCACTGGGGAGACAAAGGTGGTGCCACGGGCCGTGGCTGAAATCCGCATTCGATCCCAGGATTTCAGCACTCTGACCTCCTGAGCCACTCGGCCTCCTGGCCAGATGAATTCATTGCTCTGACGCCGTCCACAAGGAACAACCGGGCTCCTTCACACGCCCGCCTGCCGAGTGCACACGGACACCACGGCGAGCTGCGCACTGCTGGCCGCCGCCCTTTGCACGCGAGGCTCGTTACGCAAATCCTTCCGCCGGTGGAACCAAAGGTTGGCCGGGCGGTGCGGAAATGCCTGGAATGCCAGGAATGCGATCCCGAGTGGGTGCACGCCACAAATCCGCGGCTCTGCTGCCGCGTCGTCGGTGTGAACCGCGGCGGCGGCGCCGGGGTGCGAATACGGAGATGGTGCCCGGCGATTCCATAAGCGACTTCGCTGGGATTTGGCAACGATTCCGATTCCACAAAGTCCACCGGGCCTCTTCGTGCCTCGAGGCAGCTTATAAAAAAATCCCTGCGCAGGTGGCTGCACGCGTCTTTGGAGAGCCGGTCCCCTCCACGCGCGCGCCTACTGCGTCGTCGTGATGACGCCCCAATTACCACCACCGGGAGCCCTGGTAAATGGGAGCGCAGGTACGGGGTGAGACACTGCAGTAATGTTAACGAGCCGCGCTCGTTGCCGAGGAGCCACGTGATCGCATCATGCATCATGTATCCCACATGCCCGGCCACCGCATGCCCAGCCACCGCATGCCCAAGCAGCTTCTGTTTGAAAGGATAAAGGGGGCTAAATGGTCACAATACGTTGAAGAAGAGATGAAGAGATGGACTGATGCAGTACAGGAGGATGTGGAGTGTACTTGCCGAAGACTGTACCAGTGGTGTTAAGATTGGCCTCTATGGAGGAGGCTCGTGAAGAACGCTACTGGTCAGTTGGAGGCAGTTGCCCTCCAACAACAACGGAGGGCAGAGGAGCGACGCTCAAAACAACGAACCGGGCGGCTAAAACGCAGCAAATTGGCCCAGTATGGGGAAAAGCTGGTAAATCTCTCAGGCATCTCAGTCAGTCAACCCATGGCACCTGGGTCTGTCCCGTGAGCTGGCAGCGAGTGTTCAATACTTCACGTGACCTTAAAGTGCACATATCCTGGCACAAGCATCGTGGTGATGTCCCCGCCACTTAATGGTGATTGGCGGTTGTTGTTGTGTACGTGTGTGAGTGCGTGTGTACATGTGTTTCTACGTGCGTGTGGGTGCGTGTGTATGTGTATGTTTGTACATGCGTGTGTACGTGCGTGTCCCCACAGCCGTAGAGGCCCCGGACCCCGCGCTGCTGCAGCCGCAGCAGAACACAGCCAAGTCTGGCATCCAGCAAATCATCGAGTGCTTCCGCACAGGTGTGGTGGGGGGGGGGGCAGGGGGGTAGTGGTGCCACGAGATACTAGCGGGTGCACCACCCACCATGGGAACCTCACCCCACTCACTCACCAATACACCCACTCAGCCACATGCTCAATCACCCATCCAGTCACTCAGCCATGTCCTCACTCGTCCATCCACTCACCTGCGCGCTCACTCACCCATCCACTTACCTACCCACACGCTCAATCGACCCTGCAATCACTCACTCACCCACTCACTCACTCACCCATCCACTCACTCGCCCACACACTCAATATTTTAGATAGGCCTAGGCTTACGGAAAAAGTTGTCCAGGTTGGGTCTCCGGTGGAAGATGTGGCGACTCCACATGGCCTACCTTTTTCAAATAAGTCAGAAATGTAACGCTACCGCTTTTACCGCTTCTGCCGCTGTTCCCACTGCCACCGGCACTGCAGGCACGACGCAGCTGAAGCACCTGCTGCTAAGGGAGGTGGATACCATCTTCGAATGCCGCGCCTGCCGCAGCCTCTTCCGTGGCCTCCCAAACCTCGTCCTTCACAAGGAGGCCTACTGCTGCAGCTGGGAGCGCCTGCCCGGTCGGTCTCACCTCATTGGTGGCCTGTTTATTACCACCATCATCATTATCATTAGTAATAAATAGACACACTAGTAGGCTGAAAATCGTTGGACCCACCCTCCACCCCTATGGTTGTGTATCACGTTGGTGTGGGCGGGATCCATGGCCAGGGTGGAAGGGGGGTTGGGGGCGTGACGTTAGTGTTACGCACAAACCGGGATCAACACTGCAGATGAGGGTAACGTCATTGCTCGGCGCGGGGTTCAGAAACGTCTGAGAACGGCGCCTACATGGCCAGAGAGAGATCACGTATGGCTCCCGGATTGTGGAGGTCGTGAGGTTACGAGGTCGTGGGGTCGCAAAGTCGGCTGGCATCCCGTGGGCAGATGTGCCCAGAACCCTCGCAGAAGCGGATGGTGTGGGAACCCAGGGACCTCGGGCGACTTAGCTCACTCCGCGCGTTGCTCCACGGAGAGTCAGCACGGTGAGACATCGTATCCGCTTGACGGTAATAGGGCTGCTCGCCGACCAGCACTGATCGCCCGGCTGCCGCAGCGATCTCTTGACCCTCGCGCTTGACCTTGCAGAGCCGTCAACCTCCGGTAAGGCGGACCGGCAGAGCCAGGCCGTCAAGGAGCTCCTAGAGGCCATCTACCCACGTGCCGACCGGCAGGAGTACGTCATCAAGCTGGAGCCCATCTCCTCCAACTCCAACGCGGTCTTCCAAAGCGCGCTGGCGCTCGGCGAGGCGCCGCCGGGCCCCACCGCCGTGGACCCGGAGTTTGGCGAGGCGGCACCGCCGGGCGACGGTGACGCCAGTGGCGCCGAGCCCTCGTCGCCGGAGACCGACGCGGCATCGAGCGGCCCACCGCAGCTGCCTCCACCGCCCCCTCCGGACGTCGCGTCGTCCGTCAACCGCATGTGCCGCATCTGCGGGAAGGTGTTCGCGTCGCGCAAGAGCACGCGCCGCCACATCAAGGTCATCCACCGCAAGCCGCCCGAAGAGGTCGGCAGGTTCATCGGCGGCGCGCGGCGCACGGTGGGGGGCGGGGGAGGCGAGGCCAGCGCGGCGGCGGAGTCGCCGGCGCCGTCGCCGTCGCGAGCCTCGCCGTCGCCCCCAGCCTCGGAGGCGCTGGGGCCCCCAGCCTTCGCAGGGAAGTCATGCCCTCTGTGCAGCAAATCGTTCGCCACCAAGGCCAACGCGCGCCGCCACTTTGACGAGGTCCACCTGGGCGTGCGCCGTGACCCCGGCGCCATCGCCGCCACAGCCTCCGCCGTCACGGGCTCCGTGTCGGCGCGTGGCTCCGCGGAGGAGGACGACGATGACGATGACTCCGACAGCAGCGACGGCGACGTCGACCTCTCTCTCTCCGGACGCCGGTCCGGCGAGCTGGAGGCCTCTGGTGATGCCAGGCCGCCGGCATTCCCCGCGGGATGGGGCGACCGCCCGGGTGCCGCCGCTGACGCTGGGCCAGGCCGGGGCGTGACCTGCGCGAGCGCGAGCACGGCCGCCAAGCGGTCGGGCGTGGCGCTGGCACTGGGCGTGTCGGACGCAATGGTCGGCTCTCTGGAGCCCATCGTCAACCTATCCTGCGTCGTCTCCTCTCGGCGCCCATGCTCGGCCAAGCGAGCGAGGGCGTCCGCAGACGACACTGGGCCGGACCGGGACCTCCTGCCTCCACCGCCGGCCAACGGCGCCGGCACCGTCGGGTTCCCTGAAGCGGTGGGCGACATCACGGTGGCCGAAACACCGCAGCCCGACCCGAGCGTCAAGCGAGTCTCCCGGCGCAAGTCCAGCACGCCCATGAGCCGCAGTGCCATGGAACTGCTAATGCTGCTGCAGATGGCACCGCATAGCCCCGCGTCCTCCTGCGATCCGGCCGACCCGTCGCTCCGCGAGCCTGGGGAGGTCGTGCGCGGTGGCGCGGAAGAGGAGCGGCAGCAGCGGCCACCGTTCCGCACGTCCACGGTGGAGACGCGTGCCAAGCGCCGCTCAGTCGGCGCCGATGGCTATGGCTACGGCTACGGCTATGATGGCGCCGGGCGCTCGGGCCCGGCCGCCGACTGGGACATGGAAACCAAGATGTGCCTGCGCTGCCACCGGCAGTACACAACGGCTCAGACGCTCAAGCGCCATATGCTGCTGATCCACCGGCGCGACATCGGCCGTGTGGAGGGCGACAGCGACTCGTCGTCCGGCGGCGACGGTGCCGGCGGCCGGCGCCAGCGGCGGCGGCGGTGCCGCCGGCGGAGAGACCGCACGCGCAGGAGTCGGCAGCGGGCGCCGCACCGCACCCACGTCGAAGCAGAGAAGGAGTCGGCGCCAGCGGGAGCCCCGCGCGACGCCGGCCCCGCGTCGTCCTCCGCGTCGTCCGCTGACGATTCTGATGGCGGCGGCGGTGGTGGCGGCGAGCGGTGCGACGCATGCACTCAGAAGTTCCCCACCAAGGCCGGGCTCAAGCGGCACGTGTGCAGCGCGCACGGGCGTCACGACGACGGGCTGGGCCGCAGCCAGCAGCTGCTGGCGCTCGCGGCGAGGACGGCGCGCGCTGCGCAGGGCCGGCGGCTCCGGCTATCGCTGGGCTTCGACATGAAGCGGCTGTATTGCAAGCTGTGCAAGCGCTGCTTCACCAACCGTGCCAACATGCTGCGCCACATCGAGCTGCACTCGGACCGCGACGAGGGCGGCGGCATCTATGTCAAGTTCTACCGCTGCCCGCTGTGCGCCTACGAGACGCGACGCAAGCGCGACGTGGTGCGCCACATCACCATGGTGCACAAGAAACGCTCGCGCGACCTCGCCAAGATCGTGGGCGGCCTTGAGAGCCGCGCCGTCAAGAAGCCAATAGACGCGTTCTTGAGCCGCGGCCGAGCCAAGGGTCCAGACGAGCGAGCGGGCGACCCGGCAGCCGATCCCGCCGGCACCGCCGCGATCGGGGCACCGTCGTCACCACCGCCGGCGCCGCCGCCGCCGCCGGCGCCCGCAAAGTTGCCGCCATGCCGGGCCAAGTCTCCGACGATGGCGAACGGGAGGGTGGAGGCGGCCGATGCGGCCACTGCGGCAAGGTCGGCGCCGGCGCCGCACAAGTGCCCCGTGTGCCGCAAGGCATTCGCCAAGAAGACGTGCCTCGCCTTGCACCGCCGGGCCCACCGGCACGCCGCCAGGGCCGTCGCCGCCAGGGCCATCGGCGCCGGGCTCACGGCTCAAAGGGTGGCGGCGGAGGAGGAGAAATCCGCGACCAAGTCTCTGGTCCGACACACGCGCTCCAAGGCCTTGCAGCCAGGTGCGTACGTGCGTGCATGTTACCCGAACTGGTCGTGGGCCTCCACTAGGTCTACTCGGTCTCAATGATTACCTGCTGTGCTGTGCAAACATCCGTAGTGGGGATACAAAGGTGACCAACAATGACGCTGCCCACCCACTTGCCCCCAACGGGCTATATTTATCAAAGCATTGAATCACCTTCTTATGTTCACATGTGAATAATAGCAAGCAAACACATTTGTCATCATCTTCATTGGCCGTGATAAATCCACTGCTGGAGCCGCCATGCAAGTCGCTCATCGGCGTGTGAAGCACTCCGAGTTGACGCGCCGTGGTGGTGTGAAGGAGGGCGGTGGGGGTAGAGCCGGCCAAGGGCAGCAGGGGGTGGTGGAGAAGGCGCCCGAGGACCCGGCGGTGTGGGAGGGGGGGGGTGGCAGAGAAGGCGGGTCAGGGGAGACCTGGCCGGAGTAGGCATGGCAATGGGAGGGGGGGGGGTCTGCGTCCCCGAAAGGCCAATAGGGATCAAGATACGATGGGGTGGGGGGGATAACAGGTGAGACCATCGGGGAGTGGGTCCCAGTGACCTAAGGGGGAGGGAGGTTCTAGTGGAGTGGTGTGAAGTCGCGTTTTGGCTGCTGTGACGACGAGAGAGGGAGTGCCAGGGCATGGGAGGAGAGTGAGGGAGGGAGTGCCAGGGTGAAGGAGGTTGGCAGGACTGACGGTGATTGGTGAGAGAGATCGCGAGCAGTGAGGGAGATTCGAAGTGTCCGGGTCAGCGGGTGGATGTGGAGAGGACGAGTGGCGGAATATTCAAAGCGCCGAGGCGCCCGGTTGGATAACGTGTAGGGTTCCGAGTAGCATGCAGGTGTGGAGCGGGATCTGTATGTTGAGAGTTATGCGCCACGGCGATAGCCAGGAAACAGCTCATGCTGTCTAATGAACCCTGCGTCGAGAGAGAGAAGACCGGAAGTCACAGCCGGTCGTCGTGGTGGCTTCTACAGAAACAGATCGGTATTTCTGTTGTTAACATTAGGGCCACGAACCCTCGAGATCGACGTCCCGTTGCTCATTCAAGGAGCGAGACCCCCTATCAGACTATCCTCCTGCTCGTGCTGCTGTCTCGTTATAACGAACGTGCGTGCGTGTGTGTGCGTGCATGTGTGTGCGTGCGTCACGATGTGCCTTGCCCAGGTCACTCAAGATGAGACGGCCATGAGAAGTTCTGGAGAAGTCCTCCTCACCCAACGCGGCAGAAACCACCACCACCTCCATAAACCAAATTCTCTCGGTGGCAGAGCAAGCGGCTCGCAATCAGGAGGTTGCGAGGTCACATCCTAGATTTAAAGCTTTCGTGACTGCTAGGATCCATACTCTTTGGTTCTATTGGTTAAAGTTACGTAGGTGAAAATAAAATAACAAAAAATCACGACGTTTCGGCCACAACACAAGCGGCCTTCATCAGGTGAAGGGACGGGACTGTCAGGAGGACAGCGCTGGAGTGGAAGAAGCCACGCTTAGATCACGACCTTTAAGCTGTGTGAGAAGAAAAAGACCACGCGCCTTGACAAAGGAATTAGCATATAATTTAGCATTGAAATGGCTCATTGAAATAGCTAAGTTAAAGTATACACATCCGCAGAGGTACCCCTTGACAAAGGAATTAGAGCTGCTTGACAAAGGAATTAGCATATAATTTAGCATTGAAATGGCTCATTGAAATAGCTAAGTTAAAGTATACACATCCGCAGAGGTACCCCTTGACAAAGGAATTAGCGCTGGAGTGGAAGAAGCCACGCTTAGATCACGACCTTTAAGCTGTGTGAGAAGAAAAAGGCCAAGTGCCTTGACAAAGGAATTAGCATATAATTTAGCATTGAAATGGCTCATTGAAATAGCTAAGTTAAAGTATACACATCCGCAGAGGTACCCCTTGACAAAGAAATTAGCATCGAATTTAGCATTGAAATAGCTGAGTGATTAGCTTGTAACTGGTCACAGAAATAGCTATGTTAAAGTTAGAGCATATACATTCACCGAGGCACCTAGTACTCATCAAACAGGAGAATTTAGCGAAACACAACCATGCTCAGACATCGGACCTGTGTGCGAGCAAACAAGGTGTTCTGACAAAGAAAGTAGCATAAAAATTAGCATTTGATTGGCGGATTTTAGGAAAGAGGTGGTGTACGTGCCGGTGGACTTGCAGTTTGGCGCGGGGGGAAGGGGGGAGTTTACCTATTGATGGTGTGAAAAGGGGGAATTTATAAGAGCTGCGAAAGTTTGGGGTACCACTACTTGAAAAATATACTGTACCATTGAAATTAGTTTAATGTTTAGTTCGATTTAGAACATCTTTCCAATGGTTGCTTAATTTGAAACCATCCTCTCGGTTGAAATTGTGTCTGTGTTTGTAGATCTGAATTGCCTCATAAACAAATCTCTGATAAAAGCCCGTGGGTTTGTAAAGAACCTTGGTATCGGAGAAAATTATATCGTGATCCCCCACAGCGTTGTAATAGTGATCAGCCACGGCAGAAGAATTCGTTTTGCCGTGTTTCAAATCTGATTTGTGCTCGCGAATTCGGTCAGAGACATGTCGCTTTGTCTCACCGATGTAGCAATCACCGCAGGTACAACTCAATTTGTAAACCCCGGGGTACTGTAAATCAGGAATGACATCCTTCATGGATAGGATCAGATCACGAATTTTGTGTACTGTATTGAACCGGACCTGGATCTTGTGTTCTTTGCAAACCCACGGGCTTTTATCAGAGATTTGTTCATGAGGCAATTCAGATCTACAAACACAGACACAATTTCAACCGAGAGGATGGTTTCAAATTAAGCAACCATTGGAAAGATGTTCTAAATCGAACTAAACATTAAACTAATTTCAATGGTACAGTATATTTTTCAAGTAGTGGTACCCCAAACTTTCCCAGCTCTTATAAATTCCCCCTTTTCACACCATCAATAGGTAAACTCCCCCCTCCCCCCTTCCCCCCCCCCCACGCCAAACTGCGAGTCCACCAGCACGTACACCACCTCTTTCCTAAAATCCGCCAATCAAATGCTAATTTTTATGCTACTTTCTTTGTCAGAACACCTTGTTTGCTCGCACACAGGTCCGATGTCTGAGCGTGGTTGTGTTTCGCTAAATTATCCTGTTTGATGAGTACTAGGTGCCTCGGTGAATGTATATGCTCTAGCTTTAACATAGCTATTTCTGTGACCAGTTACAAGCTAATCACTCAGCTATTTCAATGCTAAATTCGATGCTAATTTCTTTGTCAAGGGGTACCTCTGCGGATGTGTATACTTTAACTTAGCTATTTCAATGAGCCATTTCAATGCTAAATTATATGCTAATTCCTTTGTCAAGGCACTTGGCCTTTTTCTTCTCACACAGCTTAAAGGTCGTGATCTAAGCGTGTCTTCTTCCACTTCAGCGCTAATTACTTTGTCAAGGGGTACCTCTGCAGATGTGTATACTTTAACTTAGCTATTTCAATGAGCCATTTCAATGCTAAATTATATGCTAATTCCTTTGTCAAGCAGCGCTAATTCCTTTGTCAAGGGGTACCTCTGCGGATGTGTATACTTTAACTTAGCTATTTCAATGAGCCATTTCAATGCTAAATTATATGCTAATTCCTTTGTCAAGGCGCGTGGTCTTTTTCTTCTCACACAGCTTAAAGGTCGTGATCTAAGCGTGGCTTCTTCCACTCCAGCGCTGTCCTCCAGACAGTCTCGTCCCTTCACCTGATGAAGGCCGCTTGTGTTGTGGCCGAAACGTCGTGATTTTTTGTTATTTTATTTTCACCTACGTGACTTTACCCAATAGAACCAAAGAGTATAGGTCACATCCTGGTTGGCGGGGTTTACTCAACCCACCATCATCCCTCCCTCCAGTGTCAATAAATTAAACACCACTTTTGCATGGGGAAGTCAACAGTGGTGGTCCTATGGATAGAATCATCCCCACCAAAGGAATGTGGAATTTCCACCACTAGCTCTGCAGGGCTGTAAAAGGGAGATGAGCGACCAACGCCTCAATGCTCGTTTTGGCTGAAATTAACTTTTTGGAGACACAACAGCAAACATCCAACCGTGCGTAGCGGCCACCATGACTGCTTTTGTCGTTATTTATGACGCGTCCCCACTTACCCTGTAAGCTATTGGGTGTCAATATTCAAAGAGATTTCGTCCCTAATTATGTGGACCTGCTAGGAGTTAATTGAAACTGGATTACACGCTGAACTCAAACTTTAATTTAGCAGTTTATTCCAACTGTATCGCTCGGAATCTGGGTCGGGTTTTCCGGGTCAGGCTGCGGACGGGCGCTTATGTTTCTCTGGCCGTCGCTACAAACTCCCACGGCGTCTTCCGGGAGTGGAATCGGCACTGTCCTTGAGAGATTTCTCAACGCGCAGAGGCTGAGCCCAGAATCCACGCGTGTGTCACACATCGGTGCTCTGTGGACGGCACGCGTGGAGTTCCGGCTTAGCTAATCTGTGAACAAAGTGTGCACGTTGCGTTCATCATAAAACACGGTCGAGGTAGTAGCTCGCGTCAATTGGATGTTGTTACGCACGCCGGTTTTACTGTGGGTGGTTCTCGTTGTTGAGGTTCGTGCGAGTACTTAGGTCCGGTGCTCTCTTCAACTTGATTTCACTTGTCACGGTGATCATTAGAATTTGGCATCAGGACTTTGAATCTGGACTTAGCAATTAATTGTTTTTATTAATATATTCACAAAAAGGTTCACTTATATTTTAACAATTCTAGCATCAGTCCTTATGAGTCTTTATTTATTTGTTTGGTCATAAAATTACATTTAAAAAGTTATACTCTGTACGTTTAGGAACCAGATCCTTACTTTTAAGCCACTATACTGGAGGCACACACAGCCACGTGGCCATGGGAGCTGGGACTCGAGCACCAGATTCCTCGCAACAACAACGCCACAAGTGCTTCACATTGTACTCACTCAGTCTCATCCTTAACAACACCCACTATCACCCTAATGTCACCAAAACACCACCACACCTCTTGTGCCAGACTAGGTGCACCTTGAGGCGACGTGAAGTCTGGAAAGGCTCGCTGCTGCCAGGTCACGGGAAAGACCCAAGGGCAGTAGGTTGACTTTCTGAGATAACTGGCAGATTGCACCACCTGTGCTCCCCACTGTTAGCGTAGTTCCTCCACTGTCCGCTGTTGTCAGAGGGCGACGGCCCCCAACTGCCCAGTAGCGTTACAGTGCACCTAGCCTGGCACTGCCGAGTAGCATCCTTCACGAGGCTCCCCCCACACAGATGCTCACACTGTAAATAAAAAGCCGCTCCCTCACGTCTCACATCCCAACTCCGCGTTCGAGAGCGGCCCCCAAGATTCAGCCATTCTCTACCGCTGCGGGCAGGTGATCACATTCGTCTGCAAGTTTTACGAATGGATTCTTTGTCTCCTGACCGTGTGATGCCAACAGCAGTGCAATCAGATACACTTGGAGGGAAAGGACGATGGATAAGAAAAAGACGAGGTTACTATCACCTCTTCCAAGTCGTGTGGTAAGCGTGGAAGAAAGAGCCAAATACCCCATAGCCAAGGGCTCTATTGCGCTTCCTCTGGTGGAGACCCGCCAGCAGAGGACGGGAGTGAGCAGTTGCAGGGTTTGCCCCTTTGTCTTTTACTATCAAGCGGAGACGACGTCTCCCCGTGTCGACTCTCCGTGGAGTAACGCTCGGAGCATGCCGAGTTGCCCACGGTCCCCAGACCTCCACGCCATCCGCCACCGCGAGGATTCTCTGGCGCGTTCGCCCACGGGACGGCGGCAGGCCTCGCGATTCCACGACCTTGCGACTCCACGACCTCGCAGCCTCCACAATCCGGGAGCCGTGCGTGACCTCTCCCACCACATGTGCGGAACGTAGGCTCCGTTCTCGGATGCTTCCAAAACCCACCCCGGAAGCTTGGACTCGCTGCCGTCCTGCGTCGCCGTGTTCATCCATGCAGACCGGGAGGGGGGGCCCAGGCACCTCCTCCCCGTCTGCTGGGCACCGTCATGAACCCCCGAGTACCGACCCTGCAAAACTTTTGCACCTTGCCGTGAACAGTTACCAAACGTTCCCCATCTCTCTCTTTTCTAAGGCTCGGCAAACCCAGAGCAGCCTTACATCTCACATCTCATCTCAATGCCTTCGAAGGACACCCCCAGTGCCAGCTGTCCCTGTGCGGCACAAGATGACTTAGAACCTGGCCTGAAAGTGTGCATTAGTCTGCGGTGTCATTTTTCGAATTTGGCAAAACTGGACCATGACGCCAGCACACCACGGCCTGCACTTGCGAGTGGCGTCAAAGGATCTTTGATGTCCACTGTGACGCGGACGGCCCAGACGACGTGGAATATTCGCTCGAGATTCGATCGAGGGCCAATCGAGAAGGCACAGCTCTCTCTGAGCGCACATTTGGTCACGTTACTTTGTTTTGTCAAATTTACAGAATTAGCGAGGGGCTGAGGCAGCATGTACCGGAAGAGCGAGGGATTTTATATTTCCTGAGCACAGGCCCACAACGTGGGCAGCAACAAACACATGGCACTGTCATCAAAGTTGTAATAGGAAAGAGTTGCGGTGTTTCTTGGGCGAGGTTGAGAGCTTGGGGTAACGAGCGATGGGAGTGAGCTCGGAAGGGGCCTGGACTGTGTTTAGTTCAGGCTCACGGCTCAACCCCTGGCTCATTCACGTCGACCCTTCCTCTCTCATTCACATCGAGTTTGTCTCCGCACGGAGCCACAGTGAGCACTATTCCGACGAAGCATGGCACATTGATTGTTGGTAGCTGTAATCTATGTTTGTGTTTGCGGTCGTTGTCGGTATTGTGTTTTCATGCCACACGGCGCCTGGCGCGCTCAGAATCGATGCCCCTCGGACAGCGCTGGGGTTGGGGCGCTTTACTCATGATTGGGGAGGTAAGTCGCGGGTGTAAAATCTTGGTCGGAGCTCAACTTTTCCCACCATCCCTCCACAGTTAATAACGCAAAGTACCACTTTGTGTAATAGTCAACAGGAGTTGTCCTATGGAGACAATGTTCCTTGCCATGGGAATGTGGAATTTACGTAATTGGCTCCGGAGTAAGGGGCTTAGACTTGTTTTAAGATAGTGACGACAGAGGGCTGTGTTGCGTTGCTCACACACAGCAGGAGGGCTTCCCCCACATTGCCTGGCATGCTTGTCACGTGACCAACAATTTTCACGCTCTTGGCCTTAAATTTTGTTTAGGCCACCACCTCAAAAGTGCCGAACCCGTGACACTTCATGTTTAAGCGACCAACTAAAAAAATATATGAAAATGTGGCCATCCCAACAGGTGGCAGTGGATAAGGAGACAACAGTATACGGGGTTCCTTTTCGTTTGGACTCATCAATACCCTACAGGCATCAATTTTCGCTGCTGCTCTATGTCTCTGGGGGATCCCACATGGAGAGAGCTGTAACCTTTTATCTTTAAAGCTTTCGTGACTGCAGGAATTCATATTCTTGGGTCACGTGACTTTACCGAAAGACCCAAGAATATGTAACCTTTTCTCTTTGGGGGGCCCATTGGCACTGCCGAAAGACAACGATAACTCAAGCGTACCCCTCTGTAAAGTGATAAACTCATCCCAAGAGTCGGTACACTGTGAGGACACGGAGTCACCGCTTCATTTCCACGCATCTCGGCTCGTTCGTTGCGTGCGATAAATAACCCGGCCTCTCCTGAGCCGCGCCGGGCTGACTCGGCAACGGCCCCGGCGCCGCTCGGTTGTTCTGTGGAAAAATAAAAAAAGAGGCATTCGAGTTTGTGATTGTGCGTAAGAAGACAGCGAGCCTTCTTGCTGAATGGTCGTTAGCTTGATAGGCGCACTAGTCGAGTTTGTAATTTTCATTCGAGATACAGGGCCAAGAGTGGCTTGTGTTAGAGTTGAGCGGCGTTGTTTAGCACTGGAACTCGGTTAGCGCGGTCAGCGTTGAATATTTACGATGCAACGAACCGCGACGCTTGTTGCGATGCTTGCCCGTGCTACGAAATCTCATGTTTAGAGTTAATGTGCACTAATACATTTAAATGCCTGTAAGTTTATTTTTCCGCATGTCCAAGTAAGCATGTGTTTTTGATGTGAGGTTGCACGAGGTTCTGCTCTCGGTGGAGTTTGTGGACACCGCGAGTTTAAAACCAGTAAAGTTGAGTCCCTAAATCGATGGTATTGGTGATGTGATGTTTCGGTCTGCCTGTCACACCAATTGAATTAGGACAGGAACACAAGGCTGCTTGTTTGTAGGAGAGTTTTTTAAGCGTTTGTTATTGTGTAACCGGTAACCGCATGCCAAACCAGTATCACGTTGAGGCATAACCGTTTGCACGGTTATCTTTTTAATTGCGAGACGAAGGGAGCTGCCACTGTGCCGGTTCGAGTCCACCTCGCGGCACGGCAGTTGAAGCAAAGCGGGCCTGTGTGGCTGCGTGTAGCTATTATCGAGATGGCTCACACACGGGTCTACATATTTATTAAGAACGCGTTTGAGCCATTTTCCCGTGCCATCGAACATCGCCCCAGCCAACATCTGACGTGATGTCTCGACGACCAGGCAGCACCAACAAGGTGATGGACAACAACGCTCTGCCGCTCCAACAACAACCTACAATAAAGAATTAAAGCTTGCGTGACTGCATAAATTACTCATTGTTTTTTTTCGGTAAAGTCACGTGTGTAGAAATACCATAAAATTATATTGAAATAAATCAACCACGACGTTTCGACCGCAACACAAGTGATTTTCATCAGGTGTAAAAAACAAATAGCGAGGGAGCATATAGGGCGACACCAACGCAACACATAGAGAGCGCCAAACTGCACGGAGGTAAATACAACAAGAAGATGAGAGACGAGAATTCAACAAACCTAAGAAAATATTCCGCGATGCAAAACCAGTCAGGCCAACAACACAGACACTTGCCTGGCGGACCACGAATTTCAGAAGATTGCTACATTTCGTGTTCATCCTCTGGATTGAACATACCAGCATTGACAGTGAACAAATACGAGGTACAAGTCAGCAGAAATACATATACAGGGACACCAAGAGGCAAGGAGAGGAAAGACGGACAGAGAAGCAAGTATGTTCAATCCAGAGGATGAACACGAAATTTATCACTCTTCTGAAATTCGTGGTCCGCCAGGCAAGTGTCTGTGTTGTTGGCCTGACTGGTTTTGCATCACGTAATTTTTTATTAGGTTTGTTGAATTCTCGTCTCTCATCTTCTTGTTTTATTTACCTCCGTGCAGTTTAACACTCTATGTGTTGCGTTGATGTTGCCCTGTATGTTCCTTCGCTATTTGTTTTTTACACCTGATGAAGATCGCTTGTGTTGCGGTCGAAACGTCGTGATTGATTTATTTGAATGTAATTTTATGGTATTTCTACATACATGACTTTACCGAAAAAAACAATGAGTAACAACCTACAAGTTAACACGCGGACTTTCGCGACCAATAGTATATTCATTATAAAGGTGGTTGGGTTAGATCGCGTAAATCACGGTAAATGTGTCGTTAACCCACCACCACCCGACGCAAACCTTACTAATTGGTTGTCGGGTGGTGGTTGGAGTAACGACACATTTACGCGATCTAACCCAAACACTTTTATTATGAACACCTTCAAGAACCTCGCCATTGGGTAGAATCCAGGAAACCTTTTCTGAATGCGCGCCTCTGATCTCGCAGCCGAAACTGAAGACATTGGCACTAACGGGACGAGATTGTGGGCAGTTATGGACGCGGTAAACAATAAAACCCCACAGAGGATGTGACTGTGGAATTACCGGGCTCCCACGACTACTGTGAAACGATAAACATTTTTTTTTATTTTACCAGGTAAGGCCCATTGAGCTATGTAGCGCTTCTTTCGAAGCGACCTGGCTCATCATGTGGAAATGTAAAGCAGCCAAACACTCCAAACGCGTAATGTTGATTCTAAATGTGGAGCGGGGGGGTGGGGGCCGGAGCAAAATCCAAGTGACCACAGCAACGAACGCGCCCGCCCGTGCGGCACCGCTGCGACCCGCGCCTCCTGCTGCTGCCTGCTCTTGGTTTAACACAAACTCGGCGTTTTCGTCCTGCCCTACGAGAGTAGACACGGACCGGTGGAGAAGCCGTTCGTCTCCAAAGGGGAAAAAGCGACAGCGACAATCGCCTTGCTTCTTCTTAACAGTACTCCTGTACTCGGGACTAAAATTAATCGGCTTTCTAAAAGTAATCAAATGTACCGTGAGAGCATCACGCTCACCACCAGAGGGCGCACGCGGTGCAGAATGTGAAAAAATGTCCTGGGCCTTTATTTTCATAATTCTGGCTACTACCCGATACTGCTGCTGGTTGTAACTATGAGTGAAACGTATCCATTTAAATGTTGAGACTGCTCTCCAATACACCGGCGGTGCTGTAGTAATACATTGGTAGGCTTGCTCATCACGTGACAACTTTATTAATTGGCTGTTTAAAGTGAAGGGTGGATGACGCAGTTTGGGGGGAAAAACCAACCATTTGCTGAATGTCAATTACGTGGAAATTCACTCTAAACATATCCCTCTGTTATAATGCATCTCCAATACACAATCATTGGTACCAGCGGTGCTAAGATCGGCTTTATATGGAGGCTCGTGAAGGACGCAGTTTGAGGCAGTCGCCTGCCAACAACAGCGGAGGACAGACAGGCGAGCGACGCTCACATAGAGCGTCGCGCCGGCAGGATGAGATGCACCGAATTGGCACAGATTTTAACAGGGGCGCAGGGGAAATCTCTCCCTCAAAGAGTATCATGTTGATCAGAATATGAATCATAATATTTATATATACTGGAGGAATCCGATGAGCTATAAGGCTATTTTTAGTTGTCCAGTATTTCCACAGATGTCCAATATAATTCAATTGGTTAAGACATGACAAAGGTGCAATAAAGACAACACAGTATCGACATGGGATGGTTTTATAACAAGATTGTACCTTATTTACATTCACACCATTTGTTCACGAATGCCACGTCACCTTTGAGAATAGTTTGGGGTTTATTTCACCACTCGCGGCCGTCCGTCCAGTGGTGTTGCAAATCTTGCAGTGCAGGCCTGCCACGAGGCGAAACAGGAAACCTCCGTGTTGTATATGACGTCTGATAGCATGACCGGCATTTGGGGAAGTGTCTGATAGCCTTGCCCTCGACTCAGTTTTCATGGTAAACAATTGGCCTATTGTTCCAAGTTACCTAAACAAATTAAAACAGAAATACAGTTATAAACTGTAAAATTCAGACTTAATTCAATGCATCCACTATTTCCGTAATAGTATATATTAGTATTACAAATACCAAACAATAAGCACCACATTGTTTATTTATAACACAACTCGTTTAACGATTACAGTAGAACGCCAATAAATCCAGGAATTCTAAAATCTGTGGGAAACGCGGTCTACTGCAACTCCCGTTATCTAAAATCATAACATCTGAGAATTTGGGGATATTTGGAGGGCAGCTAAAAAATCCTATAATCTGCCAAGTAAAATGTCTCTTTCACAAGACACCAGCGATGGCATTACCCTTTGTTTGAGGTAAAAGTCACAATGGAGATGTGTTTGAAGTGCTTTCGAGACAAAGACACGCAGAGAGACACATGGAAATACAGGGAGAAAACAATATAAACAGATGTCACTGTGCTGACAATTTGCTCTGGAGTATCACGTGCTTCCCTGCTTCTATAATCCATATATTTTTAATGGATTTATGGAGAGGCGTGGCTAAAACCTCAAAGTCCACAATTTTTTCTCGCGGATTTTCCACATTAACGTAGAGCATTGTTGATTACGCAATCTGCGAAAAACCCATTCCCATATTTCCGCAGATTTTTTGGAGTTCTGTCGCAACATTATTATATTGCTATGCAACATACATTTTCACTGTTCATATTTTTGCTATGAAACCAATCTCAATATGTTATGATTAACCAATAACAATAACCAGGATTGCGTCGAATCCTGTTGGATCTCGGAAGCTAAGTATGGGTTGAGGCTGTAGAGTACCTCGATGGGCGACCACAACACACGAGACAGGTGTTCTAGGCTGCTGCACCACCATGTTGCGGGCAACAAAGGGCAATGCAGCAACATCCATTGTTGTACTGTATTACCCTCCCACGTTTATGGTCCCTGCTTTTATCAATCGGCACCGATTATTGTGAAGTAAACAAAAACTGAAGTTTAGGAGTGGCATATATTTGTGACCAAACAATTGTCCCCACAGTCCATCTAAATTTGTAAAACTTTATACATTACATATTTATTGGGCATATAACAAATTATTTAACATGTAAATTAATTGAATTACAATTATTACATGCCAGATCGAGTCTTGTGCTCACAATACACGCATCGAATTGTGCGTCCGAGAAACGAGAAATGTATTTATAATGAATGTGGATTATATGCTCATGTCCCTTCAGGCCAGGGCTCTTCAAAAGGTGTGCCAGATGTAGGCCCTTTGGAGGGGCCCGCTGAGCTATGGCCTGCTAATAAATCTGGCTCGCTGGGACATGAGAAAATACAGATTAGCGAGAAGAGAGAAAGAAACAAGATATCGCGAGATGAGAGACCTAGGGACAAGTGATTCACATTCGTGGTCACATGTGCAGTAGTTGTGATGTCAAGTGGCTTGCCAGCACATGCCAATTTTACGTCAAAAAAGCCCAAGCGGTTTCTTTTCGAATGAGCATTGAAGCATTGGTGCTCATCACCTGTTTACAAGTCTGAGCCCATGGTGGAAATTCCACGTTCCCATATCGGGGTCGGGTATATGAATAGGGAATCCACTGCTGACTTTCCCCATAAACTGGTACTCATTTTATTGACCCTAGATGATTGATGAGCTGAGTGAACCCATAATCAGGATATGAACTTCAACCTTCCGATTGCAAGCAGCTTGCTGTACCACTGAGCCACATGTGCTCCACAGGATATTACAGATTTATGATAATGGAACAAACAAGACCCCGATAACACTGGGTAAACAAAACCAATGAGACAATAAAAAACGAGACAAAATTGCTTGAGGCTCGAATCGAACGACTCCAAATCGTGACAATTCATCCAATCGCCTATTGGAATGAATTGTTCAACACCTAGCCAATTTTCTATTTTTAAAACCCGATTCAAAATTGTAAATAAGAATACCCAGAATTACAAAAACCAACAAAAAACGTTGTAAACAAATTAACAAGCTCCTACCAGTACCGTATGTTTTCTTTCCAGACGGCTGTACATCACTTCAAATGATTAATAATTTGTAAACACAGTCAATAGCTAAATGATAAACTATGAGTAACGTTTATAGAGTAAACTTTTGAAAGTTTAACACAGTGCCCCTTACAACAGACATGAAGTAGCAATAGAATAATCAGTAACATTGATTGTGAATTCAAAGGAAACTATCATACGCTAGAGAACTTCCATCCCACCATTAATCCACTCAGAGATAAATATCCTTCTGAAAATATCTTAATGCTTATTAAACCGCATATAAGGTGCATAAAAAAATCTGTAAAGGTGGCACATGGATCAGAGGTTCTCAAGTGTTGTTAGTCGATGGCCTCAGCCCGGTCAAAAACTGCACAAAAATATCACATTTCATTCTGATTAAATTTGCCTATTCCAGCTTTCAGAATTAAATGCATGGGTTTGACTGTCTTGCAACGAACATTACTCTCAGTGGCAGGGCGGGTAGGAAAGTACTGCCCCCATAATGGGTACACCAGAGGCCACTTGAAGGCATCTCAGAGGTAGCTCAGCGATGCCCACTTCTGTAAGCCGTTCTCTAACACGGGGATAACGCACTGCGCTGTCAGAGTTGTGAATGGATTCATCCTCTCATGACATTATGCCGGGAACACAACTAATAAAATTGGGAAAGATTACAACATGTAAGAATTCCGTAAGCAGTTGAGATGGTCATTTGAGCCACAGATCCGAACGTGGCGAGAGCTCCCATGGGCATTGGTGGAGGACATACTCTGCTGATGAGACCCAAATAAAGTCGAAACCGGTCCAAGGTTTACTTCATATAGACAAATGCTCTGGACAGGAGCACTATTTTATTTTGGCCGCACCTTAATTATATATGTACCCACAATCCACTATATTGCACACATATCGAATTTGCATTCAGACCTCATAAAACCAAATTGTGTAGTAGGAGTGTAAAGATGTATCATCGTGGAGACATTTCTTTATGTTATGGGTACGATATGGACACTCGTACGATCATTATTATTATTCTTGCATTATTACGTTTTATGGGTTAAGTCTTCCTTTAACGTGAACTGCCTTGCCTACTTTACCCAGCGAGCTACTGTTCATTAGCGAGCGTTGTTCTGCTATGGCGTGCTACAGTACCAGCAGTAAAAAGGCCATCAAGGGATCACAGTTTTTCCATACACACTCCTACACCTTGTTTCATGCACTGCGCAATATTATTAAAATGTGGAAAAAATCATGCACAATTCATCCTTTATTCTAGGAGTAACTGCGCAGGTGACTTCGTATCCCAATATGCAACAGGGACATGTTTACCTTGTGTCTACAGAGCAATATTCAGTATCCATTGCATGTGAAATGACAGCAGGTAAATGTATACAAATACATATTTCAGGAAAGAGCCTCCCTTCTCCAGACCCGTGGTATAACCTCACCATGACTGCCAGCGATCGACCAAACAGGACAACAGCCAGGCTCTTTGGTGTAATAATGAAAGAGCCAGCTTTGAGACAGTCAATGTGTCTTCCCTGCTCAACTATGTCATGACTGGTGCTCATATCCCAGACTCAGCAGTGTAAATGCCACCCTCCGGTGGGAAACACGCTAGAGAGAGCACGTCCGCCGAGGAGATGTAGCGATGAAAGTGGATCGTGTGCAGGTACCATGGTGGATATTCCCCTCTCAGGGAGCGTGTAAAATGACAACTGCTTGGCGAGGCATGATGATGATGATGGTGGGACCAGTGACTCCAAAGGACAACTCCTATCAGTTTTCCACAAGGTGACATTCTTTTGACCCAGGACGGATAAAACACTGAATTCTGTCCACCGCCCCCTATACTAGGATTCAAACTCACGAATTTCTTTTTGGGAATTGGCTGTTCTAAGCAGAACCCAGGTAACGCATTTAAACAAGCAATAAGAAATAAAGGGCTCAGGGTTATGCGCTCCAACCGCCATGGAAACATTTGCTTGCTGAGTCAACTCCCTCCCTGACCGTCCTTTGACCTCGTGACCTCCCGACCTGCAATCCACGTGCTCTAACCACAGCAGTGTGGCAACACGACGCATTGGCCGCTCGTAGCATTGGCTCGCGGTTCTGGCCTGGCGGTCGTCCTGATTGCTACTGCGCATGTGTTTAACTGGACTTGTGCTCCACCTGCTTCGCAGTGGATATTGAATATTCTGTGCCGATTTTCAAAAAATAGTAGGCAGCATGTGGTGGCGTCGCGGTCCGAATTTGCCACGTTCAGAAGATTACTTGCAAATTATTTAAATGCATGAAACCACGGAGCAACATCACCCCATACTTTTAAACCACTGCAGACTATGCCTGTGAAACACAGCAGCATCTTCCTTCAAGATAGCCTTGCGCTATGAGAATGGTGCGAACATGAAATGTCATCCATTTTTTTTCACAACTACCCGAGGCCACACCGAAGGACCGGCGCGCAAGGGTCTCCTGTCCCAGCGTACCGGACTGTAACCAGCACAGTGGCGGCGGTGGCGCCGTGCACATCACCAGTGCATGAAGGCCAGCCCGGCGGGCAGTGCGTAGCCGACCGCCAGCAAGGCGACCTTGAGCATGCGATCGCGCTGCCCGTGTGCCATCTCCTTGGCGAGCACCTCCAGGAAGGCGACGAACAGGAAGGTGCCGGCGGCCAGGCCCTGTAGCACCAGCGAGGCAGCATCACCGGCCAGCCCCGCAGCGCCGTTTTCCACGGCGGCGCCGATGGCGACACCCACGGGGATGGCGGTGCAGAATGCGGCGGCCAGGCGTGCGGCGCGGCAGGGCGCCAGCCCTGCGCGCGCCATGCTCGCGCCCAGCGCCGCCGCCGCCAGCGTCTCGTGCACGCCCACCGCCACCGCCAGCCCCACAGCCTTGGCCGCCGTCTCCTGCAGGCCGAGCGCGACGCCTTCGAAGGCCGAGTGCGCCGATAGCGCGAGCACGAGCACGATGAGGCGCAGCGAGCTCGACTCTGCCAGCTCGGCCGCGTCCAAGTGGCTGTGGCCGTGCCCGTGCTGCGGTTGCTGGCGGTGGTGGCGGTGGTGGCGGTGGCGCCGCGGCTGCTGCTGGCGACGGCCGGGTGGGGGGCGGACGTGCTTGAGCGGCGCTGGTGACCCAGTCTCGTCGGCGTCCTCCTCCTCGGCCTCCGTGTCCGAGTCGGCACCGGCGTCTCCGTCGAGCGAGTCGAGCCCCACGTAGGCGGCGCGCGGGGGTGGCTCGGAGCGCCGGCAGACGAGCACCAGCTGCTCCAACAGCAGCGTGAGTAGCAGGCCGAGCACCATGCAGCACTCGGCCAGGGGGTACTGATCCGGGAGGCCCATCGCCTTCCCCACGATGAAGGCCTGGATGGGAGGGAGAGGACGCTCCAATAGTCTTTGTCACGGGCGGCAGCACATCGCTAGAATCGGCGTCGCTAGTAATAATAGAATAATAACCATCATTTACTCGAATGTCTGAGCAACTCCAAGCGCTTTACATCACATCTCATATAAAATATTCGAAGGGCACCTCCAGTGGCAGCTGCCCCTCACTCATCACCACCACCATCATTACCGCCACATTCACCATCTCACTCACTTAATCACCACCACCATTGCCACTGCCACCATCACCACCATTATTACCGCCACATTCACTGTCACCCTCATTCACCACCACCACCTTCACCATAACCCTCACTACCGCCGCCGCCGTCACCACCGCCGGCCCCGCCGGCCCCGTGGTGTTTTGCGAGCGCACCTTCTCGCGCACGGACGGCAGCAGGGCGCAGAAGCAGGTGCCGAGGAAGACGCCACCGGCGAAGGTGTTGGCGGCCGCCATGAGGCGCCGGGCGCGCCGCGACTCAGCTGCCTCCGCGCGGCGCAGCAGCCACACGGGTAGCAGGCAGCCCAGCGACATGAGCACGAACATGGCCAGCGCGCACAGTGCCTTTAGCAGCAGCAACGCCGCCATCGTGGCGCGGATAGAAAGGTGAAGTGGGGTGGCCGCGTCGAGCTTGGCACATCGATCGTTAGCGCCTGCGGGGGATGGGGGTGACAGAGGGAGGGGGGCTGAAAGAACGCGAGACACTTAAACGCCTTGCGGGCGGGCAAAGCAGGCAGTCAAAACGTATGATTTCTAAAATCCTTCCATCTCTGTCCACCACAGCAGGATCATTTGGTTACAAGAGTCGATTGGCAAGCTGCATGTCGCGAGAAGTGTGGGTACTCGCACATCTTCAAGACGCCTGGCCAGTGTGTAAGCGAAGGTCAAACATGTGGTATTGTAAGTCAATGTGGTCATAGTGCGTCGTGACGCAAAACAGTAACTGCTCATCTCCACCGATGGCTCGAGGGTAATGGGGATTTCACACAGGAAAGTCTTTCCATAGCATATATTTTACATGCGTGTCCATATCTATGCTGTGTTTCCATACTTATGGCACTCTGAGCACAAAACTCAAAAGTGCACAATGTGAGAGGGGGCAAATGTTAAAAGTGACTGGGGTGGGATTGAGGCCAAGAGTCGAGCCAGAGTCCGGTTGGCAAGATCATTAAGAGCAAGGGCTCTAATTTGTTAGGGTTAGGGATAGAGTCCGGTTGTATAGCGTACTCGAACCCCTGGCAGCGATACCCTCCACCACTGTCAAGAATGACCTTTCACATTTTGTTCACGTTTCTCCGTTTACGAATGAGGTGGCAGTCAAGTCCGTGGGTGGCTCTGAGCTTTACCAAAAGTGCGTTCACACTTCCACAATTAATCAATAACACTGTCAATAAGACATCAATAACACTGTCAATAACAGTGTTATTGACAGTGTTATTGATGAATGTGTTGAGTGTTTTTGCATGGACAATAGATTGTCGGCCTCCAACCAGGATCTGAACTTGAGTCAACTGCTCTAAGACGGTTCCACTCAATTAGAGCCCGGCAGTCAAAATCTCTAAATCATCATCATAATATGCATGGGGTGTCGTTTCTAAGATCTTTGTGGTTTTAGAAAATGTGACTTATTTATGGAATAAGTCGATGGTTTGACACGTACACAAAACTAAATTCACCATCACCACCATCCCAGCGTGGATGAAAAGGTCAGTGTGACCCAGTACACATCTGACACCAGTGGTTTGAGTATTTTCCACTTGCCAACCAAGGTGGACAAATGATTTGTCTCTGACTTGCAGTCAAACATTAGTTGACATCATGTGCGCACGTAAGAAGCCACTTTGTGATTTTACAAATAATTGCCCACGTGTTTATAGTCCCTGAACTGTAAGTTCAAAGTCGTGGAAGTGTGAACACACTTTGGGAAGAGCTCAGTCACCCACGGACCTGACTGACACCTCATAAACAGAAAACGTATAATAACACTGTTATTGACGAATGTGTTCAGTTTATAACAGTGTTTTTGACAAATGTGTTACCTTTATAACAGTGTAAGTGACAAATGTGTTAAGAATATAACTGTGTTATTGGCGAATGTGTTGAGTTTATAACAGCATTAACGACGAATGTGTTGAGTTGTTAGTTGTGCTTGTGCACCACTGCCAGCGCAGCAGCAGCACCACCAGATATTATTAATTTCATTGTCCGTGCAGGATTGACAAAATATGAAGCAGCGCTTTGTGGCAATTCAACACGGCACTGGCATGGTCAAGAACAGCTTGCTGCCAGGGGAATGTGGAATACTCCACAGCTGACACAAACGATGGCACCACCAACACAGCGTTGCCAACAGGAGACGGTCACCACCTTGACTACTGAAAAATCTCATTAGCATATATATTTACTCGTGTAGAAGGGTAAAGGCCGGTGGTAAGGCCTTCAAAGCAGTGGTTCCCTACCCTGGGTAATTGTAGTATGTTTATTTATTTACTAGCCTGAATTCTCCAGGGTAGCACTGCTATGTTACTAGCACTGTGCTGCATTGGGTTTACAAACATGTCTGCTGCAACACGAAGATTAAATATAAGTCGAATTAATTTACACAATGCTACCTCAGCAATATCCATCAGAGCCGGTGTCATTAAACACATGTACACCCCGAGGCACACGCATTGGGTACTGTAATCCTAACGGCTTTTACCCAGAAAAGCCTCACCAGGCCTCAAGACTCTATTTCAGGAGGGTCTTGCAATGCAACGTTTGGCCAATTCCCATGAATGAGACTTTGGCTGCATGTGAGAGGCAACTAAAGAACCCGGAGAAAACCCACGCATATGAGGAAAAAACACTAAAAAGTTTTGCACAGATGGTTATTCAAGAATCCAATGCTGTACTGCCATCTACTCGCCACCTCACAGTCGATTCTGTTGAATCTAGATAAGTAAGCCCTTAGTTGAGTTATATGTGTACAGGTTGTGGGGTTATTTGACCATACTTCACCATGTTGGTCAGTTTAGGTTGGTCAAGTATGGTGCCAAGGCTTTTTAGAGTATACAACTGAATCCTGGAGTCTGTGATTGCCACACTTGATCCTCCCACAATTATTTTTCGCCTGAGCCCAAGTGCCAACCAGCGGAACCTCCGATTAACCAGCATTTCGTTTCGTGCAAATCACACGTGCACCGCTTGCGTACAATATTCGAGGTTACCGAGGCTCTCCATATCTAACTTTGGAAGGGCCTGAGGACGGACCCCTGTTGTACGCAATCTAGGCACGGCATAGGCAATGACTGTTTGTCACCCAGCTTGACGAATTGTGATCGACCATGTAGGTATGACTTAATCTACCCAAGTGCCGTACCCGATACATTAAACCTTGACTTTAGCCTGCCGATGAGTATCTCATGGTCGGTTTAACACGTAGGCTCATGGTCAATGGTGTCAAAGGCGGCTGAGAGATCAAGGCCAACCAACGCTGTGGCACTCCAGTAATCCATGATCTTGTAGAGGTCATCGGTAATCTTAGTAGAGCCGTTTCAGTGCTGTGGAACTTCCGGTACACCGACTACAATGGGTGAAAAACTGCCCATCAAAATAATGTGGGTAAATAAACCGCTTCAGACGAAGGCACTCAATGACCTTTGAAATCGTTGTCAGGTTTGAGATTGGGCGATAGTTTGTGAGGTCACTATGGCTCATGCCAACTTTTTTCAGGAGTGGTGTTACCTACGCCATTTTGAAACCAGTCTGGGAAAAAGCCCTCACTGAACAAAAGATTTTCCAGGTGGATAATCAGCGGCGCAAGCAACGTTCGAGCATGATTTGGGAATCAACGTGTGGATGTAGTCGAGCGTCGACTTCTTATTTGGCAGCTGTGCGTAGAAAATGTACACCTCTGCCACTTTACATTGGTGCCAGGGTCTCGAGTTTGGCATTGGTTCCAGCTTGATCAAACTCAGATGTCAGACTGGGAGAATGCGTTGCCTTCAAGTTAGAAACTGCCATCGTGATCGTCACTATTGTATTGGCGAAGGTCGCAAGTACTGTGCACAGACCGGGTTGCTTAGTTGATGGGTGGTTGGAGTGCAGCAGACGCTTCACGATGGCGATGGGCCATAGAGCACGGGGGTTGTGAGCTGACTCATTGACGCTCAGAGCATAGAGCGATCTGCGAGACTCAATAATGAGTCGGTTGACAGGTTTGCAGGGGGCTCTGTAATCGAGTCGGACAGCTTTAAAGCAGTTTTCTTCGAAAGATGCTCCAGCCTCCTCCAGGTCTGCTTGGTTGCGATTGCCTCCAGTGACAGCCAGGTACTTTGTGCTTTCCTCATTATTTCTGTGCTTGTTCAGATGGGCACGAGTTTCTCCAGAATGGCGGTTATGTAATTTTCGAATTGAGCTGCAAATTAATCGACTGTCGATTGAGGATTTAGACATGCGGATGATGACCGGATCTTCTGACCGAAACCATCGTGGTCCAGTCATTTCCAGTCTTTGAGCGACATGTTGCGCCGCTTATGTGCTGGGTTAAACTCTTGACTGTCGATAATGTCGGCGAGATCACTGTTGATTTTACCACAAGAACCGGTCAGTCCGGGCAGTTCAGGTCACCACAGTTGATGTAACAAGAGCCAAGTGACCCACAGTCTTGCAGACCAGAAAGCTCGTAAAATAATTCCTAAAGTGAAGACGGCGGTCAGTAGATGACAGCGATCGTAAGCCCCGCATGCTGTTTGTTATTGTCACAAGCAGCAGCGAATTACATGATTGTTAATGAGTCACTCAGAACTTTCACGCACATGTCTTCACGGTGAATCAGTGCTATCCCACTACCATGTGGACTGCCGGTGCTAGGCTTCCCGCGACGGTGCTGATGTACAATAGCATATCCATTAAGTGCAGCCTCATGTTCTTTGGTTCTTTCGGTAAAGTCACGTAGAATGAGAATAAAATAATAAATTGATAAAATAAAATAACACAATAAAATTCTCACGACGTTTCGGCCACAACACAAGCGGCCTTCATCAGGTGAAGGGACGAGACTGTCTGGAGGACAGCGCTGGAGCGAACAAAGCCACGCTCAGATCGCGACCTTTAAGCTGTGTGAGAAGAAACAAAGCGCCTTGACATAGGAATTAGCATAGAATTTAGCATTGAAATAGCTGAGTGATTAGCTTGTGACTGGTCACAGAAATGGCTATGTTAAAGTCAAAGCATCCACATCCACAGAGGCACCCCTTGACAAAGGAATTAGCATAGAATTTAGCATTGAAATAGCTGAGTGATTAGCTTGTGACTGGTCACAGAAATGGCTATGTTAAAGTCAAAGCATACACATTCACAGAGGCACCTAGTACAAATCAAACAGGATAATTTAGCATTGAAATAACTAGGAGAATTTAGCATTGAAATAACTGAGTGATTAGCTTGTGGCTGGTCACAGAAATGGCTATGTTAAAGTCAAAGCCTACACATCTGAGCTATTCACAGTAACTGGGTATACACTGCACTATATAATGAATACTATATAGTAAACCAATAAAAAACTAAAATATAAATTACCTCAATGTTATCAATAAACTCTATATATTCTCCAATCAGCTAAGCTACCAACAATAAGTCGTTATATATCACAATGCTATATGGCGAAAAAATGGGTGGATTCTTACCCTCAACTTTAGCACCA